CAAGCACTTTGAATGATTCTCATATCAATGGTATGTATCCGGTAGTTTTATTCTTTTTAAGATTTTCATTGACACAGAAACATAAAACTAAGAAAACTGTTCACAAGCAACCTAGTTTGAGAAATTCTGGTATCCTCAGATCTGTATCATTTACAAATGAGTCAGCCCTGGATATCAGACAAATCCCTAATAAACATCTTGCATATGAGAGTGTCCGCAGCCAAGGCTTTCATTCAAATGGCTTTGACCTATTAAACAAATTTATTTTAAGGGACAAAGATATTCTAGATGATGTTCTCAATGATTCCCAGAGCATTCTGGAAGCTGTGGACTACAGTGGAATGACATTTTCGGGTTGTACCCTCACTGTTGAAATCTGCAAGCCAGTGAGACAGCTGGAAAGGGGGAAAACACATGCTGGAAAACAGGAATCAAATTAAGAAACAAAGCTAATGTTTTTTCCTTAGTTATTGCTGTATGTTTATTAGTTTATAAAGTTAATCGTCACATATTTGCCTAAAGAGGAGATAGTATTAACAAGTTAATAAGCCTGACTTCTGAATGTGTCTTACTATCTACTGTTTTCCTCCTCAGTTAATTTTTGTTGATAGCTTCTGGGGTGAAATATAAGAGCTGATTAGGATTACTTACAGCTTTACAAAGGATGGAGAGGCTTGCTGGCATTTATTTTGTCTTTTGGGGGAAAGTGATTAAAATGTTAAGTGTCTTGGCATATAATTCGATAGTGATCATCTGGTTGAGAGTTGAATTTCATATTATAGATTAACAACTTCCATCTTTATATTTTAGCATTCATATTTTACCATTCAATATTTATAACATAAAATCCTTAAATAGAAAACATTCTCAATTGATTTTTTATTTTTACTTGAGAATAGAATTATTTACATTTAACAAAGAATTGATCACTAGAATAACCCTTACAATTTTATTGTTAAAATTATTCCATTTAAAAGTGCTGAGACTTATTTCTAAAACTTACTAGAAATGGAGAAAGTAAAAAAAAAATCGATAAGGATATGTTTTAATACAATAAAACCTACATACTATGCAGTGGTACACCTTTAAGGCTATTCTTTATACAAGAATACAAAGAGAAGGAAGGCAAATATGGAATTCTGATGAATAGAAATGATTTTAAATGGTGTTAGCATGCCTAAACTTGCTCCCTTTCCATGTTTTTATACACTTTGTGCTACATTTATACCTATCAATACTTTATATCATTTTGCATCTGTGCCTTGCATGTAGACAGACCCCTGAAATGGTGTATACAAACTTGATATGAAGAGAGCATCTGGAAGCCTTAATGAGCTGTAAACTTAAAGCTATTCTTAGAACCTAGAAACTCTTCAATGAATTTTTATTTCAGAAGAATAAGCTTGTTGCCTTTGAATTATGCATTCATCCCTGTATTTCTCTTATTTATGGTCCCCAGTAATGCTGTGGCTGAAGACTTTATATCCTGATTTCAAGAACTTGATATGCAATTCAGGTGCCTGACATTATTCTGAGCATAAAATAAGCTTGAACTAGTTATTGCCAGTGTTGTTAACATTTTACTAAGGCAGCAGATCAGGGTTGAATAAATGAGGCCAAATGAGTGTGCATGCCTATTAGAGTGGCATTTGTAGGGTTTGGTCAAGCATCAATATTCTTTCACTTTCAATGTATGAGAGCAAAGTTCAGATAAGTTTAACCAGACGGATTCTCTATTATTTCTTTCTGGAGTCTTGTCCGTAAGACTGACAATATGGCTGTCAATACAAATGCAAATTCTGTCCTTCTTTTGGCTGTCATGTTGGAGGAATCATTGCTGTTCAGGTAGCAGAATACCAGTTACTCATTCACTCAAGGAGTCAGCGCTCTACTGACATCTGTGGTGGAATAGAGGTTCATAGGGGATCCCATCTCTTCAGCTTGGGATGAATTTACACACATACCTTACCTGAAGTAAGGTAATAGCTGTTGGCCTTCAGTGATGTATCTTATATACAATAATTTCAGGAAGCCCGTAAATAAAGTTAGTGTAGAGGAAGCCCAAGTTCTGGTGGTGGAGACCAGCATGGGCATCCTAAGACCTAAGCTAGAGTCATGGAATGTTTCCTGCCTTTCCATGGATTATTATTTCAGTATTTGCATAACACTCCTTTTAGCACTGTGTGGACATAGTAAATTAAACATCTGAAGAACTGAGTTCTCATGCCAAATTGGCACTAATTCTAGGACTGTGTAAAATGTATTTAGTGGGCCCAAGAACTACTTTTCTATAACTTATTGAAACAGCACCATGAGGGGGGTTACATTGACAGGAATAAATAATTCTCTGGGGCTATAGGTGACTTTCTTTTTGATAGTGAGAGGGAAAAAGAGAGAAGTTAGTATTCTAAGAAAACAAGCAAATGCAACTGTAATTGTTATCTTCACCTTGCCTTCTACTTTGTTATGTGCCTTCTCCTTTCTATGTGGAAAAGCTCATTATTTCCTGATGCAAGTTAAATAGTAGGGTTTTCATTACTGCTTTTACTCAGTAAGTAGTAAGAGGTGATACATCTTTTAGTTTTATGATTGAACCATATAGAATTGTAGAATCAGTCCTCATATTATTGAACCATATAGAATTGTAAAATCAGTCCCTAATTTTATACATGAGGAAGCTGAATCCCTGAAGAAAAGTGACAGCTTATTTCATTATTCAATGTCCATTCATTCATTTAGCAAAAATGTTAAGTGCTTGGCTTGCAATGTGCCCAGTGAGGCACTGTGGGGAGACAGAGAGGACTAAGAGAGGCTCCTGCATGAGAGTCACAGGAAAGAATGAAGACAGTGCTATTACCAAGATGCAGGCAAGTTGCTGAGGGAGCTATGCACCACTCATGAAGCTGGCATTTCTTTTTCTTCCTGTCTGTGCGAGGGTGGGGGGCGGGGGGGGTGGGGGTGGGGGCGGGGGAGGGGGTTGGGTAATAGAGGAGAGCCTTGGTCAAATCTAGAGGATTCCAAAGTAATTGCTTCCAGATTTCCTATCAAACTATGCAGCAGTATGGTTTTTACTCCAATTCATGGAATATTACCATAATTAGATAGGTATTTCTAATTAAAAAAATACTTAGTTGTCTAACATTTTTCTCCCAAGAAAACTGCCAAACACTATTGCTGATTTTCATCATCACAAAGATTAAGATTCATGAGTCATAAGAAAAAGTTTGCTTTCAATTAAAAAAAAAAAAGCAAAACTACTGCAATAAAATGAATGAAAATATGGAGCCATCTGTCTCTTGAATGATAATGCCAAATGAGTATTTATTGTAAACAATACAATTTATTCAAGTCCACTTTCAATGGAGAGTGCTTTAGTGTACATGCAAAAAAGGAAAATGAATTCTTTCTTCATTCATAGACCTTATATGCTACACACACAGTCATACAGGTGCATATGTGATACGTGCATATATATCTCGAATACTCGTATGCAACACTTCCTGACAGGAAATGCAGTTAATTCCCAAACATCCACTATCGGAAGTGTCTCCTTTATCTGTCACCCCAAAGACAGTTCAGGCCCTCATTGCCTCTGGTAACTGTCATGATGCCATAGTCTCCTCCAGTCAGCAACCTGGTATTTGCCCATCTGTTCTAGTCTTTGCAGAACCATAAGATTACTTTTCCTAAAGCATGACTTAAGTCACACTTTCTTGCTCAAAATTTCCCAAAGCTGCACATTTACAGAATATAGTCCCATAAACTCCATAGCAACATAATAACTATAATTTTCCAACCTTCTCCTCCTTCAAGCTGAAAACACCCTTCCACTCCAGCCAAGGAAATCAAATGCCATCCCCCTTTCCTACTGAAGTTTTCCCTGTTCTAGAAACCTGTGCCAAGTCTCCCCACCTCCCCAACCCTCACTGAGAGATCAGACCCACTAATCTCTGCCAAAGGTACGTGTTCTGTATCCTGTCTTTGGCACCCAGTAGTAAATGCAGTAATTTTGTGAATCCATTTTTTCCCTCTTTTAATGAGTCCCTAAGCTCCTGAGGGGTGACTGATTTGAAGAATTCTCTATTAAAAAAAAAATTAATGTACAACGTGATAAGAATCTAATGTACAACATGAGGACTACAGCTAAGGATAGAGTCTTATATTCGGAATTTTGCTAAATGAGTGTATTATAGCTACCCTTGCCACAAGTAGAGGGGTGTTGCGGGAAATGTGTAACTACGTGAGATGATCGATAACGCTAATTTGTTCTATTATAACCATTTTACTATATATGTATCTTATGTTGTATGCCTTAAATACACATACAATTTATTTTAAAAATTAAAAAATATTTAATGTTTTGTATTTTTTGTGGGTACATAGTATGTATATATTTTTATGGGGTATATGAGATGTTTTGATACAGGCATGCAATGCAGAATAATCACATGGGCAGCAGGGAATCCATCCTTCAAGCATTTATCCTTTGTGTTACAAGCAATCCAACTATACTTTGCTTATTTTCAAATGTACAATTAAATTATTTTGACTATAGTCACCCTGTTGTGCTATCAAATACTATATCTTATTCATTATAATTTTTTGTGCCCATAAAAATATTTCTTAAATGTCTTGGTTACTTGGTTAAATCTTCAGATACTGTGAGATCACCAGGACCAGGAATTACTTCTTTCACTTACAAATCACTGAAATCCTCTCCATTTCAGTGGCAAGCTTTATAAACACTGGGGAGGACCAAGTAGCTGAGCTGCTTGCTGAAAGATGGGGACTTCTCTTATCAACCATTAATTCAGATCTTCTCTATTAACATTACTTCAAGACACCACCAACTTTATTTTTTCTTTCCAAAAAGGAAAAAAAAAAAAAGTAATGCGATCCCTAGCCAATAAACAACTCACCTGAAGGTCAGGAACATTCCCCCCCCCCCCCCAACTCCTTTCTCACACGGGGTCTGGGAGTGAACTGGGGGCTGGAGAGGCCGGGCCATCATCTAAATGGGAATCAAGAGCTAAAGCTATAGGCATTGGCAGCTGTCTCCCGGCGTCGTCCGCGGAGCCTGACCCTGCGCCAGGAAGGAGGAGGCTGTGCCCATATAACTGTCCTGAAGTACTGCGGTGCCCCCCTCCCCCGCGGCTGGGAGGGCAGGCAGGACGAGGTGGGTTTTCCTCGCACGGTCTCTGGGCGTGGGCCCCCGCCGCAGCTCCGCTGAGCCTCGGTGTCTCCTGCAACAGGGGGCGGGGGGAGCCGCGGCGAGCAGCCCTGGGCTGCGGCTTCCTCCCCACGCCCGAGTCTCCTGCGCACCGCCGCCGAGAACGCGCCCCCGAGCCTGGTCCGCACGCCGCGGCGCGCCCGGGCTCCCCGCCGATTTCAGGTAACTTTTCCGTCTCCCGGAGTGGGGGACTGCGAGGGGGTCTCGGCTTTACGAGGTGCGGAGGAAGAGCCCGAGGCCTGGAGCGAGGCGCGCGGGGCTGTGCGGCTGTCGCGTGGCTCCGGCGCCGCGCGCTCTCCCGAATCCTTAGCCCGGCGCCCGGCTTGGCCGGGGTCCCTACCCGCCCTCTCGCTCGCCGGGACCCCAGCCGGGCCGAGCCTGTGCGCCGCGCCCAGCGCCCGCTCCGTCCGCCGCGCTGCAGCAGTGGCTGGGCCAGCGAGCGGAGCGGGAGCCCCGGCCTCCGGCCTGGGGGCCTCCCTGGGATCCTTGGCCGAGGGTGCGACTTGGTCCCGGTGTCCCTTCTCCGTCAATTTGCGCAAATCCCCCGCCCGGGGCGCCATGTTTTAAGTTGCCCCTCGGGCTGGGGGCGAGCACGGGCCAGCCCCTCCGGCGGAGAGGTGCGGGGAGGGGGTGGGGGCGACACTGCGGCGCCGCCCGGGCGGGTGGAGGCTGGCGGGCCGCGGGAGGGGCCCTACGCCCAGCGCGCGGCGGCTGCGGGCTCGTCCTGGGTGCTGGCGCGGGCGGGCGCGGGCGGGCGCGGCTCGGGGCTGGTAAGGTGCGCTCGGCACAAAGCATCCCCGCTGGGTAGCGGGGCCGGCCGCTTTTATGTAACTTGCCTCTTTCCCCAAACTGGGGCAGCGGCCCCCGCCCGCGACGGGGTACGGCCGGGGCGGTGGAGTAAGAGAAGGGAGCGTCCGAGCGGGGTTGCCTGGGGCTTGGGCACCTGCAGGGCCCCCTCGACGCTGGCACCCGGGCGCGGGACTGCAGGCAGGCCGGGGGCGCACGGGTCGGCCTACAGTGGCCGGGGGACTCCGGGCGGCGCGACTCACCTGACGCCACGGGGCTGCGATTCTTCAGGGGAGGTGTCTGCGAAGGCGGCTCTGCGGCGGTGGGGGTGGGGAGGCTGGGACTTCGGACCGCTGGAGTTGGGGGTCTCAGCCAGTTCCTGGCGGGTGTTTCCTGGCTGCTGCCGCAGGGGCTTGGTTTTTCGGGTTTCTGCTGTAGTCTCGCCCGACTTCTTCCCCTTCCCCGCCACACACCCGCCAAGTTCATGGCTTCTGCAATGCGGTGGGTGTGGTTACCTAGTAAATTTTAACTATGGTCCCTTGCAATGAGAGTATTCTTCAATTTTCTTTTTAGATTACGGATCTGAAGTTTCCTAGGGTTTTCCTTTAGTGGCAGCCTAGGGTTAAAGTTGGTAGAGATTGTTGCAGAACAGAGCAAATAGAATGATAAAGGAAACATGTGGTATTAATTACTTGTGGAGGTTGGGCTGGGAGGTCCTGAGAGGGCCAGGCTGTCATGCTAATGCAGTGCTTCTATTGCGTGTTTCAGTTGTTTCAGCTTCTTTACATTAGTCCTGCGAAATTGCTTTTGCAGATATCCTGCCTGTCCTTTTTTTGGAGGGTGGTGGGGAGTGGGAATTTGAGGCTCTCTGAGGCGGCCAGGTGTGCTGGAGTTTCTCTTTACCAAGAGAAACTCTGTAGTACAGAAAGCGTCACACCAAGTGCTAAAAGCATTATTTTTTAAATTTACCCTGATTTTTAACGTCACAAGGAAACAAAAATGATAAAATTCCACTTACGTCTGTGAGCCATGGACGTAGTCTCAATTAGAACAAATTAAGCAGAAAAGCCCGATTAAGAAAAGAGAACAGCACGTTAAGCTCCACTGAACTCTGGGGACTGGGATGTGATTTCTGTCTTGGCTCAGAGAGGGTGTTTAAAAAATGCATGTTAATTTTGATATCAAACTTTAAAAACTTTAGAGTAACAAAATTAATGTGAGAGGGAATAAATTCTAAATTGGAGAAGCATGACTTCAGTTTGTTAATTCATGAAACATTGATAGCTGGCTGAATGCTTAATACTCTGATTTGCATTTTGATTTTCTGATAGTTTAGAAAAGCAAAATTTCAGATGCATAACTTGTCGAATGAAGTTTATTTAGTGAGTACACTTTAGCCAAAATAAGTTTTTCAAAACAGAACATATTTTGTAAATAATTCATCCATAACAAGAAGAGTAGCCATTTGAATTTGTAAACCTCTTTTAGGTGAAGGATTCAGTTGCTACAGGTCAAATGTCAGTGTCTCAGTGAAATATTTACGTTTATTTTTTAGCACATTTCTTCTTAGGTTAAAAGCCTTTTTTTTTTTTAATCAGTTCTTGTACAGTGCTTGGACTTTGGCTAACTTTGTGTTGAAATACAAGATCAGGATTTTTTTTTTAACTTGATTGGATGCAATTTATTTATAATTGTTTTTTTAAAAAACTATTTGGTCAGATGCATTAGGGGCCACCTAGGTAGAAGAGAGGCAGCTACTCATGTACAGAGAGATATGATTCTGTTATCATCTTGTGACTCTTTTCTGGACTTACTATAGTATATTGGATTAAGTGTGGCAGGAACTTGCTATGAAAGTATTTTCTTCCATGTTGGATGATGTGCATTCATCTTTTAAGTTAGTGCTTTCTTTAAAATTCACAAATTAGAATTCATGTCCTCTCCAGTAAAATAGAACTCCAAGAGTAGACTGAAAAATAAATGTTTCCTTTCTGTGAGAATTTGACTATATAAAGAGAGAGAGTTTTTTTTTTTTTTTTTTTTTTTTCTGAGATGGAGTCCCGCTCTGTCACCCAGGCTGAAGTGCAATGGTGTGATCTCAGCTCACTGTAACCTTCAACTCCCAAGTTCAAGTGATTTTCTTGCCTCAGCCTCTCAAGTAGCTGGGATTACAGGTGACCGCCATCACGCTCGGCTAATTTTTTTGTATGTTTAATAGAGACGGGGGTTTTACCATGTTGGACAGGCTGGTCTCGAACTACCAACCTCAGGTGATCTGCCTGCCTCAGCCACCCAAAGTGCTGGGATTACAGACATGAACCACTGTGACTGGTGAGAGGGGGTTCTTAAGTAATCTACCCTGGCAGTCTTTAATTCCCATAGTCTTCTCTAAGTACCCCATCATGAGTTTCCTTGGCATATAGACTCACCATTGAAACCCACGAATCAAATTTATCTTTAGCACCACTTCATTCAGAGAGATACTTAATGGTGCAATTGCTGCATCTATTTCTTTCAAAAGGCTAGCTAGCTGCTGATTTGTTGGGAATTCATCAGGCAGTCAGCTCCCGGAGGATTCTGCTGTTATTTGATTTGCCTTGGCTGTGAGGAATTCTGTGCTCTGAAGCAAGGACTGGAGCAGTGAAGTCATTGTCCTGCCTGGTGTTGTGACATCACTATGGCTCAAAGGAAACAAGGGTGGGGCAGGCAAAACCAGACCATCTGAAACATCTCGCTGGCTTTAAAACTTTGCCTGATCAATGAATGAGACTCTCCTTTCTCAAGTTGAACTGCATTGAGAGGTATTGTTTGGAAAATTGGAAGTTAGAAATGAATGTAAGATTGCATGGGAGAATGTGTCCCCAAGAGTAAGGTAGGAGAGGTTTTTTCTTTTTTTCTTTTTCTCTTTTTTTTTTTTAATGTGAAATAGTAGAAAGCATTGAATATTCCTTAAGTAGAGCAAAATACTGTAATTTTTTTAGAAGGCCATTTGCAAAATTAAAGAACAAGAAAAATGAGTGTATTTTTATTTACACATTTGAGTCAACATATTTCTTACTTTTTTTGTACTAAAAGAGCATTCTTTCTAAATTCTTGAATTAGATTATTAGTAATGTCTTTTTTAAGTATGTGGTCTCTGTAAAGGTACAGTTTATTTACTGGGCAGGCCATGTTCTCATTTATTTTCAAGTGATGAAACTGCAGTTGGCAATTGGAACAAATGGAAAAAGGTATTTTCTAAGTGTATAAGCTGTCTGCAGTGATTTGGAGTAATTGATTTCTGTTTACATTTTTGTTTTATTTACTAATTATTTTATAATTTAGCATTTTAATCCTAATTTAGAATTCTAGTGCAGAGATGATCAGAGATATGTTTCACCCAAAATAGTGTTGAATAAATAAGACTGAAATTCAGAAACTGTAAAGTACATTTTATGTTTTCCTTTCTGAATTTATAGTAATATCAGCATAAAAAATGAAGAACCACAGAATGGCTGCGGATGTTCCTTGTCTTTTACTTATCTCTTTGCTAAGATGACTGACATTTTTCGTGTTAGTGTATTATGTATATAGGAGCTCTGGACAGGCCTTTCTTAACTGTGTAGCTATTCCAGAGCACAGTTGCAAAGCATAAAGAAGAAACAAATTGGGAAGAATGGCACATGTGGAGAAGTTGAAATTAGGTGTCAGAACTGCAGATCACTTGGTTGAAATGTCTTGATATTGCATTTTTAGTCCTTGTGATGATTGGTTAAATTGCATACTTTGGAATTGTAAGCTTCTATTAGCACCAAACCCCTAATTCTTTTGTAATTTGCAGTATAGAGAAAAAGCTGACAACTTAATTTTTAGATTGCTGACATTTTGATACGTTGTTCTTATAACCCTGCTTTACAAAACAAAAACTGAGAGAGAGAGAGAGAGAAAGCAGAAAGGTCTATGTTAGACCTAGAAAACAAATGCAATATTTAACCGGTCTTGAGTATATATTTTTCTCTTCAGTTATATTGGGTGGGTGCTTGATGAGGATAGGAAGTTATTTCTCTTGAGGTTTATTTCCCAAACCAAGTAGAGGTCTAGACACTTAAAGTGTTCAGTAAATACTTACAGAATTGTATAAAAAATGAGGCCATTTATGACTTATGCTTTACTACCAAAAAAAAAAAAATCTTGGAGAAGGCTTAAAAAGCACTGCTGCTTTATTTAAAAATGAGAATTATCGGACTCGTGTGTGTAGTCATTATTTTTAATGGCATGATCCTCCTCATAACAAGGTTGTTACCTCTGTCTACAGCTCAAATTGGGTAGGTCCTAGAGGTTTTGCCATATGAGGGAAGAGAATTCTGCAGGTACCAAGAGAAAAGAAGAATGGTTTC